CTTGACTTAAAGCTTTGGTGACTGCAGAAAATCCATATTACTACTAGTAGTAGTAGTTTTTGTTGTTGTCCTTTTTAGTTATTTTCTTTGAACCTATCTACGTTGACTTTACCGAAAGACCTAAGAATATAAACAACATTTTGCTTGTGTAATTGGCTCGCCCTATCCCTCTCCTCCTGTGATCATAACGAGGGGACAGGCCGGCTAATAAAGACGACAACAATGATGGACGAGCTCGGAGGCGATGAGTGGATACTCTCTGCGTTGTGTTCTGCCCTCCTCTTGGGGATCGAGTGACTCTACCACAGAGGGGTCGTCCATAAATGACGTCACGCGATTTTGGACGATTTTTGACCCCCCCTCCCCTCGTCACACGACGTCACAAAAAGTCAGACCCCCCCTCAAATATGACGTCACAAAGCTCTGCCCCCCCCCCCCCCGCCAAAACCATATTTCCATTTTGAAAATAAAACATGCTTCAAATCGCTTTAAACTATTGACGTTGTAGTGCGTATTTCATGTGGCGCCGCACTCTGATGTTGTAGGAGAAAACATTTATTAAAAAGTCTATTTAATTAAGTAGAACGTGTTGTCTATATTTATTTAAAGTTGCGCATTTTGATGTGACGTCACATTTCTCAAACCCCCCCCCTCGTCACACATCGTCACAATTGTCTGACCCCCCCCCTAGGTGCGTGACGTCATTTATGGATGGCCCCCGAGGGTTGTGGAACGGCAACTCTTTCTTCTGAGGAGCATTCGTGCGTCTGTAATTACGACCTGACGTGCACCAATGGACCACCACGTTAACAACAACAACACCCCACCCCAATCTCAATAGGTGCCGCTTGTACTCTGAATTGATTACTCCACTGGTGGGCGTGGCCTACTGTGGGTCCAATCCATGGTCATCATCATCTCCATTAACAATGATACTCATGATTCATTCATTACATTAAGCCCACACCGGCTACACGGCGCCTCCATCCTAACTGCACACAATGCCCCATCCATCATGACCTCGTCATCCTGATTACGTCTGGATTGATTTCCCGCTACGTGTCATTCTGAACTTCCCAGTTGCTTAAACTATGAGGACATGATTGTTTTCAAGTGCCTATACCTATAGCTATTTGGTGGTAATTTTCATTTTTCAAAAAAAACTTAAATTAGTTTGTCTTCTTTGGTCCTTTCGGTAAAGTCACGTAGAATGAGAATAAAATAATAAAATAACACAATAAAATTCTCGCGACGTTTCGGCCACAACGCAAGCGGCCGTCTTCAGGTGAAAGGTACAGAACTGTCGGGACGACAGAGCTTCAATGAACGATGTTAAGATTCGTAGCGACTTTTAAGCTGGTTGGGAGAAGTGAGGCACCTTGACAAAGGGGTTTACATATCAAATAGCTGAGGGATTAGCTTGTGACTGGTCACAGGAATGGCTATGTTAAAGTCAAAACCTACACATCCACAGAGGCAACTAGTAATTTAGCATTGAAATAGAAAAGGGATTAGCTTGTGACTGGTCACAGAAATAGATGTTAAAGTAAAGGCCTACACATCCACAGAGCTTCAATGAACGCTGTTAAGATTCGTAGCGACTTTAAGCTGGTTGGGAGAAGTGAGGCACCTGGACAAAGGTGCCTCACTTCTCTCACTTCTCCCAACCAGCTTAAAAGACACTACGAATCTTAACAACGTTCATTGAAGCTCTGTCGTCCCGACAGGTCTGTTCCTTTCACCTGAAGGCGGCCGCTTGCGTTGTGGCCGAAACGTCGCGAGAATTTCATTGTGTTATTTTATTATTTTATTCTCATTCTACGTGACTTTACCGAAAGAACCAAAGAAGATGAATCCTTGCAGTCACGAAAGCTTTAAATCGAAATTTAAATTAGTTTGATTTAACGTCTCTGGGGTTCCATTTGGAAAAACAAAGATGCAGCTTTATTCGAATATAAATTGACCAATTTCATTTATAAGACATTATTTTTTCTTACCACTCACACGCATCAGTGTGCCGTGATTTATTCATCACATTTACAATAGAACCTTGATTGTAATTGATGTGAGTCATCATGTTCGGCTTCTCTTTCAGAGTTTTCCATTTAAAGCATCAAAATTGCATTTAGTACAACATACATATTTTAAAAAGGCATGTAAATGTCATCCTAGAAGTGAGTAGAATAAAAAAAAATTGCAAAGAAAAAATTATCCAAATAGATTGAAAATTAAATACACAAAAAAAAGTGAACACTAAATTTAATTTGAAACTCGGTGAACAAAAAACGAATAGCAATTTCCACTTGAGGTGTTCAGGTTGCTGGTTCGGATCTGACCTATAAACTAAAACCGCATGCGTTCTTGTGCTCCCTATCAACCCATAGTTTCTCCCCTGACGCTCATTCTCTTGAGACACATCACACATGGTGACAATGGTTGAATCGGGTTTCTCTTTGGGCGTCGGTACATCAAAAGTGTGGACTCTACCTCTTCCCTCTGTGTGGGATAGTGTGTTTCACCTCTTCCCTCTGTGTGGGATAGTGTGTTTCACCTCTTCCCTCTGTGTGGGATAGTGTGTTTCACCTCTTCCCTCTGTGTGGGATAGTGTGTTTCTCCCTTACACGTTTTCTGTGGGTGCTCTGGTTTCCTCCCACATTAATTAGCTGATAACACCTTTATATATGTATAGCATCGCAGAGCTTGGGCAATTCCTGGCGCCGACTCACCGTGCGGCTCCCCTCCTGCTTGTCTGTGGTTGTTCGCACCTCTGACTCGTCCTGTGCCTTCAAAAGTGAGTGAACACTGTGCGGCGCATGTCAAGTTGAAACTATTGGAAGTTCTAACAAGCTGTGGCTGTCCGAGAGAGAGCAGGAGGAGTGAAGAGGTGGAGGAAGGAACGTCGTACCTTTTTCCACCCCAGGGCCGAACACCTGCACGCCGCTCGTCTCGACGCTGGGCTTCACCACGGCTGAACATGAGGGGCAGAGAGTGTAGCGGCGGCGGCGGCGGCGGCGGCATCGACACCGGTTAGATCGCGCGAGGCCTCGTGGCCCCGGCCGGCCGGCTCTCTCGCTTACGGAGGCAACGATGTGTGATCGCACGCGGACGGTTGAGCGGAGACTTTTTGGAGGGGGGAGTGCTGGTCGTGACGAGCAAGTGCCATCTGGTAACGCCTCTCTCTAGCGCCAACGTTAACATGCCAGGAGATATCCACTAAGATTGAGACTTTGGCCACTGATAGAAATCCTGATTGTGATGTTTACGTTGCAGCTGGCGATGATTGATGACGGCGATGTGAATTATGGCGATGCTGATGATTTGGGGGAGCGGTGGTGCAGTGAGTGGTTGGCGCATTGTTCTATGCCTGGCAGTGGCGAGTGATATTCTGAACCAGTTTCTAGCCCTCTCTTCACCAACTTACACCGACCAGCGTGGCCAAGTCGATTAAACAACTCCCACAAGTGGCACGGCATGGGGAGGCATGCATCTAGCAGCAGTGGATTGAAAATTGGCTGTAAATTATCATTAAGGATTATGCAACTTAACAAAGATTATCATTATAATCATGATGATGGTGACCAATGATGAGGATGATGGCAATGTTGATGATCATGATGATGATGGCAGTGTTATTATGATAGAAGATGATGACAAAAATGATCTTGATAGTGTCGACCACGACGACGACGATCATGATGATGATGATGAAAACAATATTTACTGATGATGTTGAAGACGACAGTGCTCACAGTGAGAATTCTATTGGGGATGATGATGCCAACGCAGATAATAGCAATGATTAAAAAACAAACGCAAAGACAACGGCAATAACGATGACCACGAAGCCCGACGTTCGCACGACGTTGACCCGACGTTGACCCGACGTTCACCGTGGACACCCCCCCCCCCCACCCCACCCACCCCACCGCCCGCCTTGCCTCGCGCGCAAAACCGCGGTCCGCCCTTACCGGTGAAGGGCGATCCGGGCACGTGCGCGTCGGCGAACAGGATGTTGACGGCGTACTCTCCGGCCTGCACGGGGAGGTACGACACGGAACACGTGCCGTCGCCGTGGTCGTGGCACTCGAGCCGCGCCTCGCAGGGCCCCTCCACCGTGAGGCCAAGGCCGCCCACGCCCGCGGCCATCGTGTCCACGCAGAACTCCGCCGGGATGCCCACCTCGCCCCCGCGCAGCCCCTCGCCCCACACCCGCACCTGTCAGGACACGCCACCCCCCCCCCCCGCCCGCACCATCATCATCAAACAAAGACAAAGATCCCCCGTGTAGCCTGAACAGAGTGTTGGGGCAAATGCTGTTAGCGAGTAGTGCCTATGCAGGCCGGCACGGCACACGAGGGGGTGGGTGGCCAGCACCACGCTCGGCCGCCTTCGTCTCCCCAGTGGCGACGTTTACACGCCGCACCAGGTACTGAGTCGACCTAGGGGAGGCCCAGGACCAATTCAAATAATCGTCACGGATGTTGGCCGTGAGCGGGAATTGAACTCGGGTCGCCGCCAGGTTCGTCGTGCAGCGCGCTGACCGTTACGCAACCGTTGCCCATCACCACAGAGAGACACATTTGGTGCCCTGGGGCCAGGTGCCATCATTGTGCCACCACGACCGCTCGCTTCCCCCCAGCCATGAGAATGCATCACGGCTGTTAGAGAAGAGAGCTTTTAGAGATGATTTGCATGGACGTGTAGATGCTGTGGACTAGAACACAAATGAGTGGAGAAATTACACAGCAAACTCTCTACCAGAGTGTCATATTATTTAGAAACAATTTCCATGTCATGTACTTCAATTGAAGTGGGCAGTGCTCACCTATATAAGTGGCTCTCAGCTAAAAGTATTCCACATTGCCGTGCTGGTCTTTCCAGAGAACGACCAGTGGTTTTCTTGTCTTTACCAGAGGGATGATGGACTGAGTCGACTCATGGCCCAGAATTGAAGTTTCAACATTCTGTTTGTGAAATGGGTGCTCGAACCACAGTGCCATTTATACGGATGTATTAAACTATTACCAACTACTCAAAGAGTAATTCCTGCAGTCACGAAAGCTTCAAATCAAGTTATTACCAACTAGTTTATTACATCAATGCATTATTAGAACATTCAAATCAATGTGTCCCACTGCTCAAATGAGCATTGGTCGAACGCTTCTTATATCCATGGTCCGTTCTAAGCCTGGGCTGGAAACTACACGTTACAATGACCGGGACAAGTATCGCCATCAAAAACCACGTGGGTCTTCCCAACAAACGGTGCAGCCTCACCACGTGGCTGCTTTATGTTGCAGACCTCAAGATGATGACAATGATGATGATGACTCAGATGTTTTCAAGTATAATGCAATTTAAAATGCCAATGGCTCTTGTTTTGTGGATGCGTGCCTAGACGGAGCGTCCCCGACCCGAGTTTGAAGCTTCCTTCGTGAAAAACAAAAAAAATTGCAGATCAAGGCCACGAGTGGATGCATAGCGCCGTCTAGCGGCGTCACTATGATATGACTGTCAAGAATTAAAAAAAAACTGCCTCAACGCCATAAAACATATTTTTTTACTAGGTAAGACCCACTGAGCTATACACTATAGCTCAGAAGCGACCTGGCCACAAATTATAGCCCAATAAAGTGGCTTATCATGTGGAAATTTATAGCAGCCAAATACTCAAAACGCATGTTTCTACATATGTGCATACACAAGCCGCAGGTCCAAATACATATTTATTAGCGGTGAGTTTTGGATGAAAAAAATTAGGGTTTCAGATTTTTAGATTTTTAAGGACAAATTATATTCTTTCTCAGATTTTCAGATCATTTACAGTTTCTATTAAATCAACGGGTGGCTGTGATAATGAACCGTGACATCCCCTGATGCGGTGACGATACTCTTTGTAGGAAAACCGCAGATGTGATATCACAACAGTGACATCAATTCCCGTGATGATGTCACATTTTCAGACCAATCACCAACAAAACAAAAAAAAACAAATTTTAGATCATCTGACACTTTCTATACCGGGCTGATTTTTGGAGAATTTTAGGATTGATGTGAAAAATCAGGATGAGAATCCCAAACATTGACACAAACGACGCCATAAAACACAGCCGGCCTCCGGTCGGTGTCTCCAGACCGCACGTAGCGACGCCGAACAACGGAGGTCTTGTTTCCGTACGTCGGAAACCCACGCGGGAAACGGCGTTGACAAGAAGGCGTCCCACCTTGCTGGGGTTGGCAGGCAGCACAGCCTCCATGAGGAAGGGGCTGCCCGGCACGGGATGCCCGTCGTAGGTGACGTCCATGCGGTGGGGCCCCGTCTCAAGCAGCGTGAAGAGCAGCGAGTGCTCCACGGCGTGCCCGGGCGACTCCTCCTCCTCCGCCGCCGCCGCCGCCGGCGCCGCCGCCTCGGCCAGCGGCTCGGAGGAGCAGGGCACTTTTTGGCGCGTGGGCGACAGCAGCCTCGCCTCCAGCTGGCCGCGGCCGCCGGCGCCACGCGTCACCACGCGCACCTCCTGCTCGCAGCCCATCTCCAGCTCTGCGGCAGTGGAGCGGACGCGACGTCGGGGGGGGTCGGAGGTCGGAGGTCGCCGTCGCGAGCGGAGGGAATGCACGTCTCCCGCCGTCGTCTTTCGACGTGTGTAGAGGAGGGCATGTATTCCAGTGGGTGCGTGTGCATGTATGTATGGTGAGCTTCTTTCGCACCGTACATAGCCAACCGTGCTAATCGGAGGTGCTAATGGAATGGCACTCCCAAGAGAAAATGTTTTCATCCACAAAGATGACGTGGTGTTTCCCAGCCCTGACAATTATATTTAAAGTGTGCTGCTTAATAAGCACGGACTCTGTTAGCACTTGCCTCCAATCCAGCATTTTGGAGGCAAGGCTTGGGAACGTCATGCACCTTTATTAAACTCCCAAATTCCTTGTGGTGTGAGGTTTATACAAAAAAAAGTCAAAAGCTGTAAATTCAACGGCGGTCCTTCCAAGATTCCTCCCGAATTCAAAATCGCCCTTAAAATGGACAAACATCCCAATGTGGCAGGAAGCCTCGAGACTCAATGAGGCTCAGCGAGATCACCGCATACAAGAAGGTCCTTGCCTCAGCAAGGCAGTCAGCTAGATCACGGCACAGACGGCGATGAAACCCTGAGGAGTATGGCCATGGAGAGGCCAATCAGTTTCAAAGACAATGCATATACTATCAGACCATGTTTGTTCGCATGTTTTTGCCACAAGTACTGTGTGTGGTTAATGCAGTAACTTGATGCCTCGCAATAGGGCATCTATTTAGTGTTTGAACATCTTAGCAACTCCCGTTTAACCGATTCTTGTTTGTCATCGTCTTTGCTACTGGCAAAAAGGGCCCCGTAGACATGAATCTGGGCCTGGTGAGGAGTCGGGCTGGGTGTGACACAGAGAAGGGGCCTCACTTGTTCCGAGCCCCTCCACCCGTATCTTGCCGAGGTCGAGCGGCGGCGCCACCGTGACGGGGAAGGGGCTGCCGGGCACGTGGTCCCCTCCGTACGTCACCCCCAAGCACACCCCGCCCTGCTCACGCAGCGGGCACGCACGGCGAGGGGCCTCCCAGAGTCACGACAACGCAACGGCTCCGTCCGACGGCAAGACGCACGGCTCGATTCAGCCGACGCGATGCGGGGACCGCACCGAACGGGCACCGTGGCGGTGTTTGGGACAGACCACCGAGCGGCGTTCGTTCGACAGGCCACGACCCTGCTGATGAGACTCGAAAATGTGATGCTGGAAAAGACCGGGACAGAAGGCTCATCGGCAAACTGCTGCCTGTTAACAAAAAGAGCCGCTGCGTTGCCGGGTAAAAATCTACTTTCACATGGAACATCGGAATTTTTTGCCTGTCTGTGCGTACAGGGTGGTCCAAAAGTCAGGACACGTAGGGTAATTTGTATTTATTTTAACAGACCTTTAACGTAAAGAACAATCAATGACAACGTTGTAATGACAGTGTCAAAATAAATGAAATAGCCCTACGTGTCCCGACTTTTTAGCCACGCTGTATATTTGCACATGGTCCTTCGTGATGAAGCCAAAATGTGTTTCACTAATTTCTATCTAAATTACATCGGACACGAGACATTGGCGATTTGTATCTCGCTACATTTCCGCCATTAGTTTGTACTTGGAATGTATTTTTCCCACCTCTGGCAAGTGGGAAAGAACCAGATTACCTGGAAGACACAAAAAAAAACCAACCCAAAACACATGTGAAGAAATAACCCTCTCAGCTCGTGCAAAGATGGAGTCTATCCACTGCTGCATTGCCATTTCCATGCCACCTCGCAGCCCAATCCCGATAAGCTGTCCGATATTCCTCGGCAGTCTCCCCGTCCAAGTCCTAAGCAGGCGAAACCGCGCATCGCGAGAGACGTTCAGCCTGCGAGCTCTGACGGTGCATGGCACCCGCCAACACACACCTGCTGGCCCGGCGTGTACTTGACGGTGTACGAGTAGTCGTGGTTGTCGATGATTTCCGAGTCGAGGATGGGGACGGCCGCGCCGACGCGCGGATCCTCGAACTGCACGTCCAGCTCGGCTTTCCCCGCGCCACGCGTGTAAACCGTGAAGTGCGCCGGCTTGGCGGCCTCCACGCCTGGTGGGCGCGGCGTTCATCGCTCGTTCACTCGCCGAGTCTCAACACCCCTCACACGCTCGTCCTGGTACGTACGTACGTACGTTGAACTTCCTTCGCACCACCGTGCGTAGTCAAACGTGCCAATCGGAGGTGCGGGGGGAAGGACAACAGGCTAAACACAAAAAGCAGTTCTAAAGAAATTGGTTTGTCAATCTAGATGATGATTTTAAAAGTGCGTAGCTGCCAGTGGCTTCCTAATATCGGAAGGAAGAGCGTTCCAGACGGCCGCAGAAGCCCATCCGAAAGCACGCGATGGAGTGACCGCCTTTGTTCGAAGGTTAGCCAAAAGCCGCTACGAGGATGACCGGAGTTTGCGTGATGGTTTACGCTGCTTAACGAGCTAGGCAAGGTACGGTGGCTCAATTGTGGCAAGCACTTTGTGTGTAACGAGTACGACCTAAACATGGATTCATTTGGCAACCGGAAGCCAATGCAGCTCAGCGAGCACTGTACGGACATAGTCAGATCTTGCAGTAGCCATCACGACACTTGCCAAAGAATTTTGTTCATGCTGCAGCTTGGTAATGCATTTGCCAGACGTCCCATGGTATAGAGAATACATGACGGTGATGATGTGAATGTCATCGGCAGTAGCATCATCATCATCAGAACATCGTCAGAGCAGGAGTCATCATGAAGAAGGGAGAGTTCGTTACCGGTGGCGTTGATTCCAGGGCCTTCAACTCGCACTTTACTTGCATCGTGAGATGGAACGACGTCGATGCCGAAGGGACTGTCGCGAACCTCCTGAGGAACAGAGCACAATGCAAAAAAAAAACCATGTTCAACCCTGATAGAAAGGGACAACTTTATCGGAGATATTGTTCTATTAGGTTTCATGGAGTGACTCAGAAGGCCAGACTCACGTGTTGGTCAATGTCCTGAATTTTGGCCAAAATCTGCTAATGTCTCTGTCACCAACAATGGAATAACTTGCCAAGGTGATGTGTTTTGATCGTTTCTTTAAGATATCAATCTGGTTCCTTGTCGCTGTTTGTAATCTTTCAATGTCTAAAATACGTCAGTGTTGGCAGAGTGTAATGTGTGCACCGAGGCAGGTTCCCCTGAAATATATTTCCCCTTTGAAAAAGGTCCACAGGCAGTGCATCATCCGGGCACGCATGAAAAGGTCCACAGCGCCGAGACAACGCTACGCATTTATCCTTGGGGTAGATTGGTGGTACAGCAGTTCACGCGCTGCATTGCAACCTGGTGAACCGAGTTAAATTCCTGGCTGTGGCGAACACCGGTGGCCAGTGATAGTTGAACGGCTTCTGGGACCCGCTTTTCGCCAACCCTTCGCCGAGCAGCATGGTGAATTGAGGTCATGCAACCGTCGCAGACAAAACGCAGCAGGGGGGAGGCCTCAATCCAGCAGTGGATTGGCAAAGGGCTGTACATTGTGATTATCATTT